TGTGGATCAAGGACTCGTAGGTCGTCCCGGAGAGGAATGCGCTGATGACGTCAGTGTCGACGACATCAAGGAGGGAGTTGCATCGTTGGGAGAACCCACGGATGTACTCCCACAGGGACTCACTGGGCTCCAGTTGGCAACTCTTGAGGTCCTAGGAGTTTCCAAGGCGGACATACGTCCCCTGGAAATTTCCAACGAAGACCCTCTTGAGGTCCGCCCAGTCATGGATGTTGTCGTGCGGAAGGAATTTAAGCCATGCCCGAACATGTTCCCCTACACAGATGGGGAGATATTGAATGATGAAATAGTCATCATCCACCCCTCCGGCTTGGGCAAGCGAGCCAGAAATCTTCGAGCCAAATACTAGGGTTTGTCTCCTCGGTGTACTTGGTGATGTTGGTGGGCGGTCGGAAGCGCTGTGGTAACGGCGCTCTCTGGATACGCTGGTCAAAGGCTCGTGGTCCTAGGCCCTCAGGGCTGGGACTCCGGTCGTCTGGCCAACGACCGTGACTAGGGCGTGTTTCACCGCTCCCCTCGATGGTTTGGCCGAGACCCACGTCGCCTGCCCTCATCGCTGCCCATTGGTCGTCATCATCATGCTGGGCCTGATACCGGTTGCTGATGACGCTATGAGCGTCTTGGTGCAGATCGGGCGTCCGCATACCGGCGGTTGGTGTAGAGTAGGCGCTAGGTCGGACCGTGGTGCGGCCGCTGCCTCCCAAGCCGCACTTGGCGGCTATAGCGGCGAGCGGACGAAGCGATTCATCTAGAGCATCCCCACTCCCCCGATGGGGATAGACGGCGCGATGTTGGAGTCGCGATGCGGAGCTTTCCACTGTTGAACGGCGGCGGCTTCTACCAGCACCCGAAGGTTCCGGTAGACCGCACACTCCTGGGGGTCGACGGGCTCGAGAACGCCGCCGAAGCATTGCGCAGTAGCGATGTTCTGGATAGCCCGAGCGAACTGCGGGAGATTGTTTCCCTCATTCATGATGTTGTGTTGGACCTGGCGGGCGCGACCCCGGGCGCCGCCCGCCGGGTCATGCGCATGGGGCGCAACGTGTTGTACCGAGCGCGCCGCCGGTGCAGGCGGCGGCTTGTTCTGCCACCGTTGTCGTAGTTCCTCGGCATGCACTTGCGCAAACACGAGGGCCCTCGCATGCGGGTCCAGAGGGGTGTGAGTCTGCACAGACTCCACAACGACCGGTAGCTATCCCGGAGCGTCCGCCATAGCGCACTCCCGGGACGAACGAAGGCTAGGTGCTACGTCGCCGATGCTGGAGCCGTCGCTCTCACCCTCGTCATCTGGGAGTTCGTGGAAAGTGGTAGGAGCATAGCTCGCCATTCCCATGAATTTGGATGTGAGAGATGGCGGCAGCGTCATTCGGATCCCCCGAGCGCATGCGTCCGTGGGGACGCGAGGCCGTAGGGAAACCGGTCGTATGGTGTTCATGGTGCGGTCAATACGGTCCCTCCGGATAATTGGCGGGAGATAGTAAATAGAGAGTAAATAACAGTATGCATATTACTTACAGTGGGGTTTGAGCAGAGAGTTTACTCGGAATGAAGCGTGGATGCTGCGTCGTCGAAGTCGTCGTGCATCCCAAAGCCGATGGAGGGTGCCCCTCCGATGGGCATCGGAACAAGTGCCTCCTCGCGGAGGTGTAGTACGCCAAGCCGGTCGGCGACGAAGTCCAAGCTTCGAAGAGGAAGGCCTGGGATGGCTCGAAGACGAGCGAAACCCACATCCCAATAGGTGGGAGTGCGGGAAACTCCAGTGAGCTGAAGTGAGTCGTATCGCTTGAGCCCGCAATGGCGATGATGGCGGAAAAGTGGGCCATCCGATGACCAAAAAGTGTTGAACGTACAACGTCTTCCCCACGGACGGCGCCAACTGTCAGTGCAGAAAGTAACCAACAAGTAAATATTTATAGTTTTGCCGTACGTTGTGATCGGAGGTGGCCTAGCACTCAATGACATAAGGGTTATACTGGTTCAAGCAACGTGCCCTACGTCTAGTTTGAGTCGGTCGGTGACTTTATTCCTAAGCCTAGGTGCTTGAAGTTTGTAGTGGGATTACAAACAACAAGGAGAAAGATGGGGGGTACAAGAGGTCCGGTCGGACTCTAGATCGGAAGGGCCGAGAGTGACAAGAGCTCCACTTTGGGCTAAGTGTTCGAGCATGTGCTCATGGTTTGAACCTGGTGGTTCTGTTGTTGTGTGCTAGTGAACTTGATTGATCTAATGAATCTAGAATGACTTAATGAACCTGAATGTTGGGAGAGAGCGCATCCCCTTTTATAGATGAAGGGGATGGCCTTACAAGTGAGAGAGAGAGAGTACGTATGCTTCTAAGCCTTGTTGCCCATGCCGGTAGGTATAGGATGATGGTAGGCGCCCACAACACTGTTGGATGTTAGATGCATGTGGGAGGTTGCGTCGTCTTGTTCGGGTATGGCAGATGTCGGTACCTGCTATACTATTGATGCCCAGAGGCATGTGAGGAGTTTTACCATGTTCACTCGGTACGGTAAATGCCGGCGCCCACAACACTATCGATGCCCAGAGGCATGTGGGGGGAGCCTTACCGTATGGGAGTTAATGATGCCCACAATACTATAGGGGAAAATATCGGTGCCTACAACACTGCTTGGGTTCTATCATGCTAGGGAGGTCGCAGAGCACTATTCCTGCAGGTGTACAGGGTACGATCCCCGGTATTACGGTTTGACTTGTGCGCCCTGCCTTACTTTCTCTATCCATTTTCTGGTCCTTACCGAGCGGGCATCCCCATCGGTTAGTCTCATTTGGCTCTAAATGCCAATTGGAGAAGAGCAGTGAGCAGGGGTTTGCCGCATCCCCAGTCGGAGATGCGGGTTGGAGTCGGAAGTAGTGCTTTGGCCAGGCCTCCTGGTCGAAGAGGCCATCTGGAGGTGGGCTAGAGACCGAAGCGAGTGCTCCGGAGAGGCGGGCGGAGTTGGAAAGCGGGCGATGTTCCTCCTCGGCTAGGCCTCCCGGTCGGAGATTCGATCGCCCCTCTGGCCTATTATTCAGGTACTTGGGCCGGCCCATGAGTAGTGCGTTTGTTTGCTTGGGATGAGCCTTTGTTGGGAGGTCGGTCCGCGAGGGTCCCCGGGTTTATGAACCCGACACATAGGGAACCAAGCCGACACAACGCTTCAACTGACATACAACTACGCATCCCCTAGCTTGCGTATGACGCGGGATTGACAAGACAGGACAACCCGGGGATGGCACTAGAACAAGCTCATCTTCCAACAGCGCACCTCTCTCGGCCTGCGGCCAAGATCGGGTCTTAAGTCGTGAGTGGTAATTTTGGGTGGCGTCTAACCACTCGGATCGCAAGCCACCCGACTAAGACAATCCCGACTACACACAGACGCCCGAGTTGCGTTTGACAGACAAGCTTGGGGGCTTATGTCGATGCCATACCCCTAGGTATCCAGACTTCCATATTGCCGACTACCGACTCCGGATCAAAGATGACCCAAAGGCCCACGACGATCCTATTCAAGCAAGGATATCTTCGGATGGCGCTAGGGCTCCGACTAGGGCACGACTTCTTAGCTTGTAGGGCAAGTTGATCCCGGATATAAATAGCTAGCAATTATCCATGTTGTAATCATCGACTCTTTCATAGGTGGCCTAGCCACATTGTAATCGTGATCTCGCCAAATACAAGCAATACAAACAAGTAGCAACTGGACGTAAGGCCTTTTACTCGCTTCTGGGGGCCAAACCAGTATAAATCTTGTCTCCATCTGTGATTGTTCTTCGCACCAAGTGGGGTTCCCTAAGAACCAAATATCTACCGATAAAAAACACCGACAAATATGTTAAGTCAAATCATATAAATTTTGATTAAGTTATATAAAAAAATTAAATATTTATCATACTAAATAAGTATCATTAAATCCGTTATCAAAAAATATTTTTTATTATCATACTATACTTGATTAGGTTTTAAAGTCATAAATTGATACTCCTTCCTTTCTAAATTATAAGTCGCTTTTACTTTTTTTTCATCCATTTTACTATGTATTTAAACATATTATTATATCAAGATGAACCAAAAAGTCAAAGCAACTTATAATTTATAATAAAAAGAGTACTATTTATATAAATTTAATTATATTTAAGATAGATTGATTTGAACCAGACATGGAATTGTATTGACGGAGATGGTAGTTTAGTTTGACCCGTGGCTCTGATACGTCATCGGCCGTCCGGTACGGTACGCACGAGGGCGTTGGGGTTGGGCAGCCCGGGTACGTCCAAAACCGGGGCGGCGCCCTCCCGTTTTGTCCGTTGAAAATTGTTGTTATCTTCTGTCATCAACTGCACCGATGGGAACGAAATAGTCTATAGTCGCAGTATTAGCAGGCCTTACCTGTCGCTCATCGTAGCCTAAGCTGTAGCACATGTTGGTCTGGTTCCCCCTCAACTCAAAACAAGTGCAAAAACATGCAGCAGGTTTGCGAGCAGAAGACGCTCGATCGGCTCTAATCCAGTTTATCAAGTACGTATAATAAAAAGTGGCGATAATTGTCAAATCTTTGTGACAGTAATGAATGAAGGACTAGTAAAGGTGGAACAATCACACAAATGGCTGTTGCGTCTGGTCCGGCGCGGCGCCGGCGAGCCATCGGCCCCAGCGCAGTGAATGAAATCCGGTCACCTCGTTCAAGATCCTACTGGACACGCCCGGTCCACTGACAGCTAAGCGCTGGCCCCACGTACCCTGCCGGCCGGAGCCGCCCTCCAGTTTTTGCGCTGAGCCCCCTTACATTAATTTTAATCCCGACCCCACCCTTCTCCGCCGCGTTTCAAGACATTTGGCTTCGCAATTACGCCCTCCCATTTCCACCTTTTTATAGACGCGCACCCATCGCTGCCGAGCCATTATTACCAGCCGGCTCTCCACTCTTTCGTTCTCCATCTAGGCTCTCCCCCTCGTGCGAAGCTTGCGGGGTACGGAGATGGCGGCGGCCGGGGGAATGACCCCGGCCACGGCGGACGCAGTGGAGGAGCTCACGCGACTGTACCGGGAGCTGCCGCCGCGCCCGGCCATGGAGGAGGTGGAGGCGGCGGCGGCGGTGCTGGCCTCGGCGGATGCGGAGGAGGAGGCGCGCCTGGCCGAGATCGCCAGGGAGGAGGCGGCGGCGCGGGCGCGGGCGCCGGCGCAGGGCGTGCCGGCCGAGCTCTTCGACGTGCTGTGGGAGGCCAGGCGCAACTCCGTGCGCCTCCGTGCGCTGCAGCAGCGGAAGGAGGCCGCGCACGTCGTCGAGCTCGAGAGGCGGTTCAAGCTCTTCGACGACCTCATCCAGAGGGCGTCGCGGGTGGTGTCCCCAGGTGGTGATGGTGCCAGGGGCGGCGGGGGTGTTGCCGTGGTCGACCACGAGGTCGTGGAGGTCGAGGCGAGGCGGAATCCGGCGCTGGCCGCCGCGGCAACAGAGATAGACCGTGGAAGCAGGGGTGGCTTGGGATTGGAACCCACGTCCGTCTCGTCGCTGCGTCGTGCTGCTTCATCAGGTATTATTACGCCTTCTTAATTCATCTCAGTATTTCTATTTCCCCTGCAAATCTAGGTGAACTTTCGCTCCGCAGGTGCTATGTTATTCCATTCGATTTCGTTTTCCAAAATTTCCTCTTGAGAAAAAAATAGTTTAGTAGCTGTTAGAAACCAAGTTAATCGTTTGATTGGTGTAGTTTATGTTGACTTGTCCTTGTTTTGTTTTCTAAAATTTTTCTTGTCACCCAAATTTATTTCCTCTACCATATCTTCAGTCCATAGTTCCATTACACTTAAGACTTAAGAAACACTTGACTAGGACTTGTTAGTTGAGTCAATGTAAGATTTTTTTTCTACAACTATGGTAACATATTATTTTGCCCCAAGATAATCTGTTTATAATTGACTTGTTCATAGGATGCCATCATAATGGTAGTTCTGCTATAATAATGGACACATTTCTTATCACTACTTCACTAGTGCTGGTAATTGGACATGACTAGATTGGCTGTGGGCTTTGTGATGTTTCTGTGTTTTAATTGTGGACTGTTCTGTTATGGAACATTGTACCAGAATCAAATAGCTAATTTGATTTTACAGCCAATCACAAATTTGTTTCTGCTGGCATTTTTTCCCACCCACCCACACACACCAAAAATAAGTTATTTACTTATTTGGTTGCTTTGAAATGAATGAATTGTTTATTCATTAGCACAGACCCCTACGATTGTGATAATTCTGTGTGTAGTGTATTAGCTATACACATTCTGCAATTCAAAATTTCTGGACATAAATGACAGCGCACCTACTAATTACTTATATCAATATTCTGTGTAGTTCTATACTCCTACTTTTTTTCCTGTGTGTTTTTGCTTGTTACGTGCATTTATTTATGGTCTGCGAATGTGGTCGTGATGGTTCTCCTACACTAATGTTTTTTTAGGAAACTCAACTATAACCTAATAGTTGCATTGAAGTAATTCTAAGTCAACTCCATTGTTGCTGTTTATTTATTTTTACTCAATGTCTATGGTAACATAAGATTTTAAGTTTTGTATAGATGATCTGTCCATAGGCTGCCATGGTATTAGTAACTCAGTTGTAATAGCTACACTTTCCTTCTCATTAGTTCACTATGAGTAGTAATAGGAGTAGAGGACATGGGGAGATTTGTGATGATTCTGTGACGTAGTTTTATACATTCCAGGATTCTCTGCTTCATACATGTGAGGAATATCTCAACTGAACTATCATTATTTGGATATTGGCCAGTAATTGTTTCAAATAGAATTCTTCAGCGTGTTGTGAAAACTGTAAATTACTTACACTTTACTGATTGGAGTAGATAAGAGATGGTAACGAACAATGAACACTTAGCAACATTTTCTCTAGGCCTAGCATGAGACCATCTTCTTGTACGGTAACATAAAAAAATCAGTGTCTGCATTCTCCTAATAAGTAATAAAGTCTAATATGTCAATTTTTGCAGGTACTGACACAGAAAAGCTGGGCCTTATCCAAGTGGCAAGCCTTATAGAGTCATCGGCAAAGAAGGGGACTACAGAGCTCAATCTCCGGGGTAAGCTGGTGGACCAAGTTGAGTGGCTCCCTGTCTCACTTGGAAAGTTACAGGATGTCACTGAGCTTGATCTATCTGAGAATAGGATCATGGCACTCCCATCAACAATTGGTAGCCTTAGATACTTGACAAAGCTTGACCTCCACTCAAACCAGCTGATCAATCTGCCTGATACCTTCGGGGAACTTTCCAGCCTGATTGATCTTGACTTGCATGCAAACCAGCTAAAGTCTCTTCCTACATCATTTGGAAATCTCACGAGCCTTGCCAATCTTGACCTGAGCTCGAATCTGTTGAAGGTCCTTCCTGATTGTTTAGGAAAGTTAAAAAACTTGAGAAGGTTAATTGCTGAGACGAATGAGCTTGAGGAGCTACCCTATACTATTGGATCGTGCACCTCTCTTGTGGAGCTTAGATTAGATTTTAATCAGCTCAAAGCCCTTCCAGAAGCCGTTGGGAAGTTGGAAAACCTGGAAATCCTGACGTTACACTACAACAGAATCAAAGGCCTGCCTACAACAATTGGCCATCTTACCAGGTTGAGGGAGCTGGATGTCAGTTTCAATGAAGTTGAGACTATACCTGAGAACATTTGCTTTGCAGCCAGCCTTGTGAAGTTGAATGTCAGCAGAAACTTTGCTGACTTAAGAGCCCTGCCAAAATCAATAGGCGAACTTGAGATGCTAGAGGAGCTGGACATCAGTAGTAACCAGATACGAGTACTTCCAGACTCTTTTGGGCATCTCTCAAAGCTACATGTGTTTCTTGCTGATGAAACTCCACTGGAAGTACCGCCTAAAGAAGTTGTAAAATTGGGGGCTCAGGTATGCATTGAAGTGTTATTCTCCCATATTTACTGACTTTTTTTTTGCCTTCACTGACTGAAATGATGTTTCTTCTGCATGACAGGAGGTGGTTAATTATATGAAGAATATGGTTGCTGCAAGGGAAGTGAGCCTGAAGGAAACAGATAAGAGGACCGTCTGGACCTGGCTCGGCTCACTGTTTGGTTGTTGCAAAAAGAATCAAGGATTGGGACCAGTTCCAGTTTAGCTGAACCATTTCATCTGCATGTATTGTCATGAAATTGTTCAGTTTTGGTCAATCTCTCAAGTCAGAGATGAAATGAGGCGTGGCATATTATTGTTATTTTCCACTTTATGTTTGTGTATACAATGGATATACGTAGCGCTTTCTTGTACATAAGGTTCATTTATGTGTAATTCATCTGTATGAAACACTATCATTTATTCCGTGAAACTCGAGCTGCCCAACATTTCTATTAAATAGTACCTCCACAAAAGAATGTAATTCTAGCACGGTACCAAGTTAAAGTATCTTAAGTTTAATTTACTATATATAAAAAGAATTAAGGATATCAAATAAAGATCATTAGATTGGTCATTTGATATATTTTCATAATATACTTATTTGACATCATAAACATTAATATTTTAACTATGTATTTGGTTAAACTTTAGGCACTTTAAAAAAACTTCGCTTAACTTATCAATCTGGCTTATCAGATATGATATAATATTTTTCTGTCGTAACAAAACATCATCAGGCACAAAAACCATCCGCTGTTGACTTCCATATAGGAATTGCTATTCTTCCACTGCCCTAGAATTAGTATTGAAGGGTCATTTCGGCTGTCGTATACAAGCTGTTGGTTGATCGCTGTCTTTGAATTGACAGATGACGATGCACATGTACCATTGTAATCCTGACCATCAATACCTGTTTTGCCAAACGTGAAGCTCCATTTGTCTCGATCGGACTCGTATACTCTGCAGTACCCTGGCCCTATCTGCCATCTCTTATAATGCCTCTTCAGTACAGTCTCCACTAGTCAGCGAGAAAGGGCGCAGGGAGCGGGAAGGGAGCGCAGCTGGCTGCTGGGCCGCTTGCCCTTGGGCCTGCGCGTGAGAGAATGGGAGGGCGTGGGCAGCTGGGCCTCCAGAGCGAGCTGGCTTGCGGCGCAAGCTTCTGGGAGACAAGAGGGCCAGCTGGGCTACTTCTCAGGTCGGGCCAGAAAGAGAAAGAGAGGAAGAGGGTTTAAAAGAAGAGGTTTTTCCTTTTTATTCAAGGACAACACAAACCAATTCAAAGCAAACTTTTTTTTGACGGAAAAAAGCTGTGGGGGAGATCCCCATAGTGCTTTTTAAATTAAACTAAATTCAAAGCAAACTTTTGATTTTCAAAACAAACATAGGCATCACAAAATTATATGCAACAGCGTGAATGCACAACCATGTTTCTAATTCCTTATATTTGATTTTATTCTAAAAGAATTGTTTCCCCTATATTTAATGCACACAAAATTGCATTATTAGGTCAAATTAAAACTATTTTTAGAAATCGAAATTTTAGGGTGTTACAAATAAGAGTTTTTTTTTTGGAGTGAGCCTTGCCAAATGGTCATCTAAAAACGGCTCCACTAAGGAAGTTCGGAGGAGCTAGAGCCGTTTTTCTATTGAGAAGTCGACTCATGAAAAACGTGACTTTTCTTGGATCCTCCTCACAAACATAGCACAAATTATAATAAAATTGCCACAGAAGCCATTTTTGTCAATTATTTTCTAAACTAGGGGTCTGTCTGGCAAAGCTTCACCACTAAAAAAGTAAATTTGGATCTAGAATTTACTATGGAGCAGCTCCACTAGTGGATCTGAGATCCATCGTTGATCTATAGGGAACAGTTTGGCTACATGACAACTTTAAATCCACGAAACTGAGGTTTTGGTGAGAATGGCCTCTTCTACCCTTGGGCACAGCCATAGCGAATCTCCGATCTGATCCCCTAGTAGCTGGCCCGGACAATCCCCTAGCATCACGGCGGCTCCTTGAGCACGATGAGGGTAGCCGCGCTCCTCCCACAACACCCACAACATCTCCTTGAACCTGGGAGGGCCCTGTCTTCTCTTGACGATGAGGACGAAGACGAGGTGGACCTATGCCATTGCGGGCACTAGGGCGGAGTGAGGCATGCTGTGGCCGAGGCGGAGTGAGGCGAAACAACCCAAAGGCAAGATAATAGCGAAACCACCCGAAGGACCTTGGCACCACTGGCACCCGAGGGATGCGTTCGTCTGAAGATGCCTAGAGGATTAAACCATCAACAGCGTCAACATATCGGGAGCGATGGCATCAGACTGACTTTGTTTAAAGCATGTCTAGCTAGTATTCCAATATATCTTTTTATCTATCATAAAGTTCCCTAAGTGTGCCATTGAGATGATTAATTCCCAGATGGCTCACTTCCTTCGGAATAATAATGAAAGTACTCATACATACCATTTGGCCAATTGGCAGTTGATAGCACAGAGGAAGAGTTAGGGAGTTTTGGAATCACAAACTTAAGGAATCTAAATCTTTCCTTGTTAAGCTCTTGGATCTTTAGGTATCATTTGAATTCTAGATCTATCTGGAGGAAGATTATAGATTCCAAGTATAGAACTCAGAATCTAAATTTATTTTGTTGCCTGACACTCATACTTCCCCTTTTTTTAAAGGGGTTCCATGGGCTGCCAAGGATACTCAGATGAGTATCATGTGGAAAATTGGTAATTGAAAAAGGTTTGCTTCTGGGAGGATCACTGGTTTCGGAATTCAAATCCGGCTATTCAATATTGACCTCTGTATATTATTAATGAGCAACATGGAAAAACTATAGCGGAGGTCGGGATAGAGAAGTGTTAAAACTCTCCTTTAGAAGGTGTGTGTCTGAAAGATTGATGGATTTATGGTATGAGTTGCTGGGTGTGGTGGAAAACCTGACTCTCCTTTAGAAGGTGTTCCTATTTCGCCGCATTGAACTATAGCTCCGGTGGTAAGTTTTTGTGCAGTCGCTTTATGCGGTTATCAATCGCAGGTGAGTTATTTCTACTTATGTTCATGCTGTTTGGAAGCTACATATCCCACCTAGAGTGCAAATCTTTCTGTGGTTACTGTCTAAAAACAAATTGCTAACTAGAGATAACCTTGCAAAGCATAGGGAGGTTTTATACTAGTCCTATTTGTTCGATCTGCACTAAAAAAGAGTCGATTAATCATCTCTTTTTTCAGTGTGTTGTTGCTAAGAGAATCTAGTGTATTATGTTTGAGTTGCTGAATTTGGATGGAGTTTGTGATTTTGAATCTGTTGCTTCCCATTGGATCGTTGATAAGTGCCATGATGTTAACAAGATAATCTGTTCGGCTATGTTTGTGGTGTTTGTGGAAGTTGTGTAATAGCTTGTAACACCCTCGGTGTTACATGGTACAGTTTTTGCTAAAATATTGCATGAACATTTTACTTGTGTGTACATGTATGTAATATAGGGTATAAATCAATATATGGAACTTGAAACGTTCATTTGAAACACGAAATGGATGTTACATTGCATGTCATGTTGTATTACTTAGGGTTCTAAATGAATTTTTATTGAACGGAAATGCTATGGAACGCATATGCGGAACTTTAGTAAAGTTTGTAGCACGAACTTCGCTCTGCATCCTCCATCAGCGTGGCGACGATGAAATACGTCCGGCGGTCGACGTTCGGCGTCGTCGAGGCACGCCATCACGCACCGCTGCCCATCCTTGTTACCACGCATGTGTGGCACCGCTGTTGCCGCCGCTTGCGGTGACTGCACACACCCGCCATCACCGACGCCGGGTCCCGAATGGCATCGCTAAACAATTGGCCTTCTGCGGTCCCATCTTTCAATTAACCTCGAGCTTCCCGGGAGTTAGCTTCCTCTTCAGTCGTCGAAGAGTGTCGTCTGCGGTGAGATTGTGCGGCGTTCTCTCTCGCACTTCGGCGACCTTACGTCGGCGAGGTCAAGCGCTCATCCGCACCCTCGAGAGCGATGCGACACTCGGCTGCTCCTGAGCGCAACCTTGGCGGTGCAAGCAAGCGAGCAAGCGTGTGGGCTTGTCTTCGCTTTGACACATTTGCAACGCGAGGCCAAAAACGCCAATTTTTTCCGTCACGCCGTATAGAAACCTAACCTAAGAGATGAAGGTCTAACCCAACCTCGGTCAACATATAAGCATGGCATGTCATTAGACAAGCTGTGTTTATTAATTTCTAACAAATATAATGTTGCATGCATTGTTAATTCAAAATGTGAGGACAAATGATTTGCTAAGCTGGCCCATCCTTGTTATTCTCTAAACTCTAATGAATAAGTTACCTCGGTTTTGCTAAACCAAATTTGAATCAAACAATAGAAAAGAAATGTAAAACAAAAAAGGAAAAAAGAAAAAAAAGACGTTGCTTTCTCTGGAAAAGAAGTGGGCCGGATGAGAGTACACGGCCGCCTCCGTGCCTATGTGACCCGTGCGGCCCCCATTTGACCTAGCTTGCGGTAATGCGATGTCGGGCGTCGATTCAAGTTTTCGCCATCACCGGTTGCCATAAGTCCCGAATGGCGCCGCCAAGCAATTGGATGCCCTGATCACGCCTCCACTCCACATCATTTTCCAATTAACCATGCACACATCGAGCTTGTGGGTAGTTAGCTTCCTCTTAGGAGTCGATCCGAAGAGGCGGGCGTCTGCGGAGGTCGAGATTGTGCGAGGCGTTCTCCTTGGGACCTTACAAGTGTCGGCCCAGGCGCTCCACCGTGGCCCGAAGGCCAAACCTCCCGACCACAGGTAGGGGGCTCAAACCGACCTCACCGCCATCGTCACCCCTCAAGCCCCAGCCGAGCCAAGGCTGAGCACTTTCATAAAAGAGCGGCATGCTCTCGCCCAGCACCACCACCCGTGGCGAGGTCGGCACTGGCTCTCCTTGTCTCACCCATCAAGCAGCAGCGAAGCAGAGCAACCGAGCAGCGTCACCGGTGGCGGTGCAAGCAAGCATGAGCAAGCTAGCGAGCCTTTGGGCGGTGCGTGCCTTCGCTCTTAGCTTGTTGACATCATCCCCGTCATCATCCCCGTGTCATACCCAAATTAGTGTTATTTTCTTGTAGGAAAATAAATCCCCGATGGTAAAGTATGTCGCCCGTGAGGCGCGCCGTGGAAGAAACATTAGGAATACAACCTTGCACCCAGTGCACAACTGT